CTGGTGAAACCGTTAACACTGATCGCTACCAACAGCAAATGATCGATTTAAATCGCGTGAAAAACGACCGGAATATGGAAAAAGGCAACACAAAGTCATTTTGCTCCATGATAATGCCCCATCACACACAGCAAAACGGGTCAGAGAAACGATCGAGGCGTTCAGTTGGGAAATACTAACGCATGCGGCTTATTCTCTAGACCTGGCTCCGTTCGATTATCATCTATTCGCATCAATGAGACACGCTCTCGCTGAACAACGCTTCAATTCGTATGAAAATGTACGAAAATGGCTCGATAACTGGTTTGCTTCAAAAGAAGAAATGTTTTTTTGGCGTGGCATTCATAAACTGCCGGAGAGGTGGGAAAAATGTATAAATAGCAATGGACATTATTTTGAATAAAATATTTTTTATCATTTTCATACAACAGACGTGTAATTTTTACAAAAAAATTCCGGTTTCAAACTTCTACACCTGGTATATACGGTACATGAGTGTAATAATGTGAATGGCATGTATCTATAATAATGTTTAAATAATTACTTTAAAGTTATTTTCTAAACAAAAAATATATATTTTAAATAACAATTTTTTATTGTAATTATTTAATTTTGTTTGTAAAATAAATTATATTATTTAATACATTATGAGATACGTATAATAATAATTTATAATTATCCTATAAATGCCAAACTTTGGTTGTATCTCATCCTGAAGAAGTGAACTGTTAACGAAATATTTACGAAACATTGGAAACAAATCCATGAAGATCGCGGTGTTGATTCGGAATATCAAATTAAATATTTATAAATGCCAATCTGAGATCAAGTAACTTTAAAAATAATAACTGATTTTAAGTGATTATTCATCAACTTATTTTGTTCTTTGGTTATTATTTTACCTACTTTAGAAAATATCATCTCGGGAGGAACTAAAGTTGCAATTAATAACTAATATTTCATTGCTAAGGCGCTTAGATGAGTCTTTAGGAGATGTCGAATTGAAAAAACTTATAACCATTATGGGTGGTCAATATAGGCACAGTGGAGTTCGATATTTAAGAATTGTATATCGATATGTGAACATCTCGAATGGTAAAATATCTATACAAAATATCGATATTTTAATATCTATACTGTATCGCTCATCTTTAAATTCCACCGTCATTTTACGGAATAATGTATTAGATTGTTACAGATGAAATGGTCGTCTTTGAATTTTGAATTTAAATTTTTATTTGACACATATTATATACATCTTGTCATTCGAAAAGTTTTCATCCTCCTCAATACATTTTCCCCAACATGATAGAAGTGCGTCAATGTCTTTCACGTAGAAATTGAGAGAATTGAGAATCTAGAAAAGCCAAATGCAAAAAATTTGTTGAACGCTCTTTCACGTCACTTTCTGTTTGGAATACTCTTTCATTTAAGAAGTTATCAAGATGCTTAAAAACAAATGGTTATCTTGGAGAACTACTGTGACCCGGACCCCGCCGGTCGGTGGACGTTCGCCCTTACCCTGGCCGGTGGGGGTGGTCGTGCGGTGTCTCTGGTCGACCGTGTTCGGTAGCGGTGGCCCTGGTGTAGCTCGCCGGATGCCCAGGTGTTCTTGGTGTAAGTGTGAGTGTGTAGGTATGCGAGTGAGAGCGCGAATGAGAGAGCGAATGAGTGAGCAAATGTCCAAGAAAGATTCGTTTATTATCCTACGTTGTTTCGTACAAGATCTTATCGACGGGCCGGGCTTTATCTGGTCGTTTCAAACAAGCAAATATTCAAGTGACAATACTGGCGACGGAATGTCGTGTTTACGTTGTGACGTCGGCTTAGTCGGTGTTATGTTCTCGGAATCTATTGGGAGCAGACGTGGCGCTCGGCCCGTGGAGCTCGCGGTGTTAGCGACGAGCGGGCGCGGTATTGATAGTTCGACGCGGTGTATTTGGGACTTTCTTTTACAAACCGAACACCTTTCTGACCGACACATTTTTGATTTAGCTAAAACTTTTTTTATGTGTTCTATATGACAAAAAAGATATACCTATTCGAGGATTTTTTTTTGTTTCATTTTTTTGGAAAATAGAAAAGAGGTAAAATTTAAGAATTTGGTGATGTTTGGCTTGAAGTATATTTTTAAAAAATTCATAACTCTGGTTCTATTTAAGCTACAGATTTCATTTTTCTTTATTTTGAAGGTAAAAGAACGAGCTTTAATAAAAAAGTACTTGAAAAAAAATTATTAACAAATTCAAATGGTTATAAACAATTAAAATGTTTAAATCGATTTTTAACAATTGACCCACCCTCGTACCAAGTTTTTAATATTTCTATCGTGTTTTACGTCAAATTTCCTTTCGAAAACGCTTTTTTAATTGATGGACAAATAATTATTACTATAAGAAAAAAATTAATTAATCTAGCGCGGTTCGTCACATCGGCGCGCGTGTCACACCGCACGGCCCATTTTCTTGTCACATGTCTTTTTTCTCTGAAATATTAATGATTAAGGTGGGGCAATTGTTAAAAATCGATTTAAACATTTTAATTGTTCATAACCATTTGAATTTGTTAATAATTTTTTTTTCAAGTACTTTTTTATTAACAGCGCTCAAAGGGTTAACGCTATGAACCCATATATGGGTTCTCACACAACCATTCGTTTTTGGCTATGAACCCACATATGCGTTTTCGCATAACCATTCGTTTTTGGCTATGAACCCACATATGCGTTCTCACGCAACCATTCAGTCTAGGTTATGAACCCACATAATAATTTATTTTATTTATTTTTTCGTACGGAGTGGGCAGTCCACGGCGTACGCTTAACGCCGACAACGTCTGCTCAACGTGCGCTCTTTCGTAAAAAGTACGCAGTCCACGGTGAGCTGTCTCTTACGGATTGGGCAGTCCACGGTGAGATGCCTCGTGCGGAGTGGGCGGTCCATGGCGCACGCTTAACGTCTGGCAACTCAGCGCTCAAAGGGTTAAGGCTCGTTCTTTTACCTTCAAAATAAAAAAAATGAAATCTGTAGCTCAAATAGAACCAGAGTTATGAATTTTTTAAAAATATACTTCAAGCCAAACATCACCAAATTCTTAAATTTTACCTCTTTTCTATTTTCCAAAAAAATGAAACAAAAAAAAATCNTCCATGGCACACGCTTAACGTCTGGCAACTCAGCGCTCAAAGGGTTAAAGCTCGTTCTTTTACCTTCAAAATAAAAAAAATGAAATCTGTAGCTCAAATAGAACCAGAGTTATGAATTTTTTAAAAATATACTTCAAGCCAAACATCACCAAATTCTTAAATTTTACCTCTTTTCTATTTTCCAAAAAAATGAAACAAAAAAAAATCCTCGAATAGGTATATCTTTTTTGTCATATAGAACACATAAAAAAAGTTTTAGCTAAATCAAAAATGTGTCGGTCAGAAAGGTGTTCNTGTCGGTCAATTTTCGACCAAATCTGTACGGTTTGTAAAAGAATGTCCCATTTACGCTTCGCGGTGTTTAAAGTCGACGGTTTCGCATCGGAGTGCAACGGCGGAATGCACCTGCTACACTCGGTGTCGCGGTACGCGGGTCGCGGTGTTTGCCGCACGTGGAGTGCTCGCGTCGGTCGACTCCCGGAGCGGAGGGCACGCGGTATCGCGCCTCCTTACAGGAACGGCGAAGTCGGCCGGGCGAGCCTGGCCAACGTGCAGCCGGCGGCAGTAGATTCTCGGTTTCGCGGCGGATACGGTGGTACCTCCGGTAAAGTGCGGACGGAGAGACACGTGTCGTCTCTATATTCGCGGCGCGGTACGCGGAACGGTATTCCGGGGCGTTCGCATGCCCCGGAGGCGCAGGACCCGGTGACCAGAGTGGAGTGGCCGAGGTCGAGAACACTCGACAGAGGCGGCGAACACACCGCCCTTACTCGTGCCGATCCCCAAGTCCGTCACAGGCAAGAGGGCCGGGAGCTCCCGGTGGAGACGGCGAACACACCGTCCCGAGATGGAGGTTTAGGAGTCCGGTGCCCGCGACTTCCACGGGAGAGACAGCGTACGCAGTACCTCGTTCTATCCGGATGGTAGGATGTCGAGTCGGCTGCGAACGCACAGCGGTGACAGCGTACGCACCGTCGCTGTCTCTCGACTTGGGGATCGGGATCCGGAGCAGCTCCGATCTTACGATCCGGCTGACTCCGGCGGAATCAGGTCTCGATACTGCGGCGAAGCGGTCTTTTATACCGCTCCCGAGACGTTTTTCCAACACGTGCGCGTTTGACAACAATTGTTGTTGCCAACGTGTACACGTGTCGGACGTGTGCGCCGCGCGTGGATTTGTTTATTGGCGCGAAGCGCCGTTCTGCGGCCGACGGATGGTCGGTCGGCCGCGGTGTTTGCCGCGGGGGGGTGCATCGTCGCACTACTACTCAGTCATGTTGCCCGTGTCCGGGCGTGGCGACCTCTCTTACATGCCTGTGAGTGCGCACGTTGATTATACACAGGCATATGGGACCTACAGTTTATCGCCGGTTCCGAACGGCACTAATTCAAAGAGGTTCTCATGGCAAGAATACTCTCGGTAGTTTGCCATTGCCTTCCGAGAAGAGACACGAGCGTAAATGTTTTTGGCTTTATATCCTGGATCGAGAACTCGGGATCGCTAGTATGGCAGACCCTTGCGCTATCTGCTATGCCACGTTCGCTCTCAAGCTTCTCGTTTTTCATCTTGGAGAAAGACTAGTGGAATAAGAAACGTGAGGGAGAACTTCGCATTTGTAATTTTTTAAAATTTTTAATAGCTTGTTTTGCAATTTTAGATCTAACATTGGAGCATGAAGCAATAATGTACCGTGTCTATTTAATAACACCGGCTGTTTAATACGCATTTTTTCTATTATAGCGTCAATATCTTGGCAATATTTTTCAACATTTACAGTTTCACCATTTTCAAAAATGAAAAATGCACAATACTCTTAGCAGACTACCATACAGACACTAAGACCTTACATGAATGAAGGCCTCGGTTACAGCATGTGTGTCGTATCGGCATCTAACCACTGCACAGAATGTCGACGATTATTATAAAAGATCCTTTTCATCACATGTTACTATTCGATTCAATGTTCCGTCATTATTATGTCAGGAAAGCAAAGAAGAGTTGACTTCCACGCGGCGAATCTTGTCTCTCAGACAATTCATGTAGTACCTACTTGTCAAGTTTTCTACTTTTCTCATGACCTTGAGATATTTGGAAACAGTCAAATAAAGAACACTGATATTGTGTGCAATATCTCGAATCGATAAACGCGAGTCTGCTTCATGTCTTTCAAAACATCAATCATTGATAGCGCATGGCCGTGAAGCAAATTGTCGAGTTTTGTATCACTGAACCGAAACTTTTCGAACCAAGGTCTGGTGGTTCGATCACTTATAAAATCTTCCCCAAAAGCAGTATTTATATTTCGCGTTGCTTCACTCTGACTAAGTTTGAATTGTACAAGAATATTATCTGCCTTTTCTTACTTTCCATGTTCCAAGAAACAGCGATTTTTAATGATGTAAACAATGTGATAAATAAGATTATGCGTGTAAAGTCACGTGTGAGGCATATTTTTCAAATATCATACATACAGCGACACGCGTTGCTAAGTAACAACACGTCTCCGATCGCGGTTAAAAGTGCGTGTCATCGAGAAGACAGCACCGTTCCGCACCTGTAATTCACCGCCGTAACTTGTGACAACCAGCTCCGGTTTCAGACGAAATAGTTTACACTAGCTCGTGTTTCGGTGTCGAAGTGGTGAGTTTATTGCCTCTGTTGTATCTTCACAGCCTCCGAATAGGACCAGTCCTTCCAATCATATTTTAACCGTTTTAGCGCCACGCAGCGCGATCGCGCTGTTCGCGTACTGTGGTTAAATGTGCCGCGATGTTTGGTCACGATCATCAATTCGCAACGCGCTCGGTTCTAAATTTTACAAACTTTTGAGTGTTTAGTATAACGTTTCTGATATGACTGATGAAATGAAGCGCGAGCGCGCCGAGCGGCATATTTCGACGAAAAAAAAGCAGCGCGATCGCGTCGATCGGCGTTACTCGCAGATAAATGAACGAAGCGCTATCGCGCTGCATGGCACAATCCGACGCGGATTTTTAAAAACCCCTGGCACTAAAACGGTTAATATAGTCCGGAGTGATGTGTTCACTGCTTCCGTCAAGTTTTCTCGATCCTCTAATTATGTTCCGCTACTGTCCCGAGCGGCAAATAGTCTGGGGTGATACATTCGCCGCCTTTGCCGAGTATTCTCGGTCTCGTCCGTCGTCAGATAGTGAAGGACCAACGAAACTGGGGCGGTATGTTTGCCGCCCCCGCTGATTATTATTATCAGTCTCGTCGTTCCCCAAAGTGGAAGAACGTTATACCGCGTTAAACTGCCGAACTGCGAATTAAAGACCCACGAACGTAAACATCTCCAAAGACCGACGTGAGTCGGCACCGAAATGCGCCATCTGAAAAATATTTGTCAACACCGCGCCGCGAGCCGCTACACATAGCTCGACCGAAGCGAACAGGTGCACCAGCATCCCATCGCGTTATCGCGACTAGCGACGAAACAATTGCGATTATACCGCATGTCAATACCGCATTTGTTTTGTAAACAGTTATATCGAAATCACTCCGATTGATCTCAAGCGCACATTTGTTTCTGAATATATTTATTTCGTTGTTATTTTGTTTTCTTTTATTATCATGAGGCACGAATCTCTTTTTTCCGAACCCGGCAATCTGGCGAGTTCACCCGGGATACTGCTCCCAACGCGACGTTAAACATTTAATTTCGCACTCGACGCCCGACCACGGGCAAATTGGACTGTCACAATTTAATCGATTTTTTTTATTTATATTATTTAATAAAACTACTTTTGTTTTTGCCCTACATTGTCTAGAAGCTGAGTTATTTTAATTCAAAGTCTGAAATCGCGAATTTACACTTAAGAAACGTCCAACTTTTGTTTGACAATGCAGTTGCTATATTTTTTGTCACTTGTGCTGAGTTGTGCTAACCTAGATCGATAGACCTCAATTCAACAGAACTTGCAGAATTCGATTATCTATCACGGTTCAAAAGTTATAAGGGTATGAAGTTCGAGATACAGATTAACGGAAGAACTGAAATCGAAATTTAATTGAACTGTGAACGGCGATGGTTTAATGTAAATTTACCATTAAGAAAAGTTGTACTTGTGTTGAACGGCGATGGTTTAATGTAAATTTACCATTAGGAAAAGTTGCTGTACTCGTTTAGCACAATCCAGCATAAATGTAGAAATTTCGAAAATAAAAAATTTTTTTTTATCTCTGAATCTTTTTACCAATTATTTTGTCAACCTTGCAAATTTCAGTATATCTGTAAACAGTTCTCTATCAAACTCGATTAGCACAACTTAGCACAACACGCAGAATTCGCAGAAGCATATACCACTCGATTGAAATCCGGCTATTTCGTCTCATTCAGCGGCGCGGCTGACCGTTCGTTATTTCACTTTTTCCGCTTGATATTCTGAAGCGAAGCGATTTCGTGTCGTTCTTGTTTAATAATGCTTATGTTCAATATAAGCAATTTTCTTTATTGCGTGTAAGCGCGTTGTGAATATACGAGGTCTGGCTATTAAATAACGAGACTGCGCGCGCAGAAGTCGTCCTAGAGAGGAAGGGGGGAAGCGAATGCAGCGTTGGATAGGTGGAAGTGTCTACTATTCCTGTACGAAAACTCGTTTTTGTCGCTGTAGTAGTATTTTTTTTATAGAGGTTAGAAACGAACGTGTTTTTTTCTCGTGCCGACAATGTGTGACGAAAAACACGAGCAACGGATCAATATGAAATTTCTCGTTAAATTAAAAAAAACTCCGACTGAGTGCTATAACTTGTTGAAAGAGGCCTATGGTGAGAATTCTCTATCTCGTGCGCGTGTTTTCGAATGGTATAAACGGTTTTCTGAAGGCCGAGAGAGCACCGAAGATGACCAACGTCCAGGTCGACGTTTCAACTCCGCAAACAGTGACCAAAATCAAAGAAATTGTGCGCGGAGATCGTCGTATGAGCATTAGGATGATTGCTGAGACTGTAAACGCCGATAAAGAAACTGTCAGAAAAATTTTACATGACGAATTGAACATGAAGAAAGTCTGTGCGAAGTTGGTCCCAAAAAATTTGACCTCTGACCAAAAGTTCGCCCGTCAACAGATCTGCTCAGATTTTCTTGAGAGGTTAGATGAAGAGCCTGAATTGATGGAAAACATCATCACTTGCGATGAAACCTGGATATTCCAATACGATGTTGAAACTAAGCGGCAATCCATGCACTGGAAAACTCCTGCATCCACAAGAATGAAAAAAGCAAGGATGTCGAAATCAAAATTTAAAGCCATGTTAATCGTTTTTTTTCGACATCAACGGCATCGTGATGACTGAATGGGTTCCAGAGGGTCAAACTGTAAACCAAACTTACTATTTGAAAGTTTTGGCAACACTGCGAGAGCAAGTTCGTAAGAAACGGTCGGAGTTGTGGAAAAACAAGTCGTGGATCTTGCACCAGGACAATGCGCCTGCCCATAACGCGCTGTCTGTGAAGCGTTATTTAGCCGCTAGAGGCACTCCAATGCTCGAACACGCGCCGTACTCGCCTGATTCAGCACCCTATGACTCTTTCCTGTTTCCAAAGATCAAGTCTGTCTTGAAAGGAACCCGATTCGAGTCGATGGAAGAGGTGAAGCGAAAATCGGCGGAGCTCCTAAATACACTTACAAAAGAAGACTTCCAGCATTGCTTTNCACGCACATAATATATCATATATAATATGCAAAATCGACGTTTGTTCCTCAAGTATTTTTACTTTCAATATAATCTTTATAATATATCTTTATACCAATATATTTTTAATTCTCCTTTTTATGCACGCATTCTTCTAATTCTTCTTCTCTTCTATGCATATTTTAATAATATTTATAATATTATTAAAATTTTTTAAAATTTAAAATTTTATTTTTTAATAATATCAAAAAATTCAATCTAATGAAAAATATCAGAAAAATAATTATCTAAAGAAAAATTGTGTTTCTAACTTTTGAAATAAAATTGTTTCTACATCATAATAATTCGACAAATTATATCTAAATATAAAAATAATTTTGAATTATAATATTACAGCCAGACATAATTTTAATACATCGAATTATTATCATGTAACAATATAATTTTAATTATAAAAATTATGTTGTGACTTAATTTTTATTTGACGATTTAAAATTATATCTAGACGAATTAAAATTATGTAAATAAAAATAATTTTGAATTTTTATTATGTCTAAATATAATTTTAATTCGTGGAACTAAAATTATATTTAGACATAATTTTAAATCATCGAATAAAAATTATTATATATCGCGGTAAAATAAAAACTTCGAATATAAATTATGTCCGGATGAATTAAAATTATGTTAGGACATAATAAAAATTCAGAATTATTGTTATGTACATAATTTTAATTCGTCTAGACATAGGCAAAATCGGTTAATCCAGTCATTAGAGATACTGAGATCAATTTTAGAAAACTTCTAAAGTAAACTTCGATTGTTCTTACGGAATAATGGCGGAAATTTTGAATATTTCATTGGAAGACCTGAGTAACGTTCAACTGTGTTCTTCCAGAAGCGTAATCTACCAATTTAACCTTCATTGGCTGGATCATCCTCCGATCTTGTGTTCATTGGCTGGATCAACCACTGATCTTGCTTTCATTGGCTGGATCAACCACCGATCTTGTCTTTATTGGCTGAATTATTCTCCGAGCTTGCCTCCATTGGCTAGATCAACCACCGATTTTGCCTTCATTGGTTGGACCATCCTTCAATTTTGCCTTCATTGGTGAAATTATTCGTCGATTTTGCATTTTTATAAATAAGGTAGTAGGACATTTTAACCTCTTTGCACTATACATCGGGTAAAGCGAATCCGGCGGTGTGTAAATTTTAAAGCCTCATATCTCGGTGATAGCTTACATAAAAGACATATAGATACATATACATAAAAGACAAATAGATAGTATTTTAAAAACGTTTTGACGTCAGTTACAGGACTATGTAATAAAAAGTAGGAGTTCTCATATAAAAATGGCGACGATCTCCATTTGACCTTGAAAAATCGATTTTTCTCGAAAATTGATTTTATCATTATTTGTCTCCTTTTAGATTATATAACTTTTGTTTGAAACATTTTTCCATATCTTCTATTTTTCGAGATATTTTTATGCGAAAGTTAAAATGGAACACTATATTAGACGGGAAGCGCTATTGTATAACGAATGCTATTTTATAACGTTTTCGATTTGCTGACTCAATCCGACTCGAGGAGTGTTCCGATACAATGTTGAATGAATTTCTACAATGTTGTAAACTATAGTATACGTAACGTGAACTTTAGATTGCAATACTGCAGAGATTATTGGCATTCTGCCTGAATCAGCTCGAGTCAGCAAATCGAAAACGCCAGTAGTGATAATGAAGCAGCCTTGCTATATACCATACATTCGTTGGTTCGTTCGTTTTTTTTTAAATGGCGACTAAAATGTGATTATGTAACGATTATTCCGCCGGTATTTTTAACATTCAATGTCATAGTTCCTTGCCAAAATACGATAAAGTTGTGGAAAAAGAATTCAGTATGTTTCTTGATTGAGCGCTGAGGACTCTTTATCATTGCCTGTCTCACTATTTCAGTATTTGAAGAAGCCTTCATAGACACAGGATCTGATGATTTCTGCTTCAACTGCTTTAGAAACAATTGATTGAAAGTTTCTTGGTTTAAGTAACTCTTAATTAACGAAATTAATTTTGTAGGCTATTAACTTTTAACTCAACTTAGTTAAAAATAAAAATTAATTTACTCAATCCTGTCGTAAATACGAGATATATTTTATATTTTATAATGAAAATTGTCACAAGATATAATGTGAAATAATTTGGAAATTATTCACTTTTCGATTATCTTACATTTGTATTTCTATAAGTACAATAACAAAGAGTAATATGTTTATGTTTAAAAAAATATAGATCCCATTTATATATAAAAGATTGAATTTCACTTTAAAATAACCTTTAAAAAAGATGTTAATAAAATATTAGTATTACCATCTTATATCGATCTTAAAAATATAGATCTTGCAGTTTTTATTTATAACTTTTTTCGTAAAATCAACTCTTTTCAATCGATTTCTGTGTTCATTTTAGGTATAAAAGTATTAGAGTAAGATCGTCGAAAAGTGAATTTTTTCCAGATATTTTCCAGATATTTCCCAGATATTTTACTTTTTATTCTAATATTTTTCAATATAAGATATGAAGTATCTCATAAAGTATTCACTTTCCGATAACATTATTTTAATACTCATACATAATAATATAAGAGAAATCGATTACTGATATTTATTATTGCATATTGATGCACTTGCAAAATACAACGAATTTTTTTTAAGATTTTTTAAATATTTGTTTATAACGATCGATTTCATCTGTCATTCTACGCACAAAATATATTAAGATGATGTTATCGAAAAATGAATACAATAATTTTACAATATAATTTTATAACAATTTCAGATATTGAAAGTTTAACAATATGGACCCAAAGATTAAAAAATATCTTACTAACGATACGATATTCAATGAAATAAATAAACGATATATAAGTTTGGAACCTAAGGATATAAGAGATACAAATGTGCTCTTAAAAACGGTAATTATTTGTATATATCCGTGCATTATTAAGTGTAAAAATTAATTCTCGGCCTTTTTAAATGAAAATTAACTTATTTATATAAACTCAGAATACACTTTAATCAACAAAGTAATCTCCAGCAGCATCTACCAGGTGTATGCATAAGTTTTTTTCCGGTTTAACTAAGAGATGGCGCCAGCGAAAAGTACGCAGCTTATTAATTTGACACATATGTCATTTTGTTCGTCTGACATTTAAAACCACAAACACACACAAGTTGAGTCCGCCAAAAACTAGCGTCTTTGTTTTATCGTTCAGTGATCATGTCGAGTTTTGTGCCTGAAAAAGAACATTTGCGGCACGCATTGCTTTTCTTATTTAATCAAAAGAAAAAGGCTGTTGAAAGTCATCGTTTGCTGGTAGAAACATATGGTGAACACGCTCCATCGATTAGAACATGTGAGACATGGTTTCGACAATTTAAAAATGGTGATTTCAATGTGAAAGACAGTGAGCGCTCTGGTAGACCACAAAAATGCGAAGACGGGAGTTTGGATGATGTATTGGATGATGACCCAACTCAAACTCAACGGCAATTAGCAGAAGCATTACATGTATCACAAGAAACAATCAGCAGACGTTTACGAGCAATGGGAAAGATCAATAAACTCGGTAAATGGGTCCCACACAATTTGAATGAACGTCAAATGGAAAATCGCAAAGTCACTTGTGAAATGCTGCTTCAACGCCACGAAAGGAAATCATTTTTGTATCGAATTGTGACGGGTGACGAAAAATGGATTTATTTTGAAAACCCGAAGCGGAAAAAATCGTGGCTTTCACCTGGCGAAGCCGGTCCATCAACACCAAGGCCAAATCGCTTCGGCAAGAAGACCATGCTCTGTGTCTGGTGGGACCAGAGCGGTATTGTGTATTATGAACTCTTGAAGCCCGGCGAAACCGTTAATACACAACGCTATCGCCAACAAATGATTAATTTAAACCACGCATTAATCGAAAGACGACCGGAATGGGCCAGAAGACATGGCAAAGTGATTTTGTTACACGACAATGCGCCGTCTCACACAGCAAAACCAGTGAAAGACACCTTGAAATCGCTTGGATGGGACATCCTTCCGCACCCGCCGTATTCCCCAGACCTGGCGCCAATTGACTATCACCTCTTCGCATCAATGGGGCACGCGCTCGCAGAGCAGCATTTCAGCAATTTCGAGGAAGTTAGAAAATGGCTCGACGAATGGTTTGCCGCAAAAGACAAGCAGTTTTTCTGGCATAGTATTCATAAATTACCTGAAAGATGGGCGAGATGTGTAGAAGCCGATGGCCAATATTTTGAATTAAAAAAAATTAATTTCCCTTGAAAATTACGTGTTTTTTTTTTTTACCGAAAAACCGGAAAGAACTTATGCATACACCTTGTATACATTTGCATTATTTGCTATCTTTCGAGTAGGTGACGATTCTTCTCTAGGTAAAAGGACGCTGGTTTAGAGTCAATAAAGTCGGTAATGCATTTTTCGACCTCTTTAAACGTTTTGCAGTTGGAATCTGTTAAATAATACTGAACCAAAACAAGTAAAAATCTGACGGGAATCTGATGAATAAAGAGGATATGATCAAATTTTCCAGCCCAACGAATCAAGTGTGTCCTTGATTGCTTTCATCGTGTGCGGCCTCGTGTTATCGTGCAATAGAATGACCGACCTAAATCTGTTTCTCGTAAAACGTCTCTTGTGTTGAATTTCGTTATTTAAACGTAAAAGTTCATGTTTGTAACGCTCAGCGGTAATAGTTTTACGCAGTTTTAACAACTCATAATATATCACAAACAATTCATAACATATCACCTTAAAGTCCAACCAAATGCATAAAAGAAGTTTCTTGCCATGAATATTGGGTTTTGCGATCGATGTTGATGGTTCGCCGGGATCAACTCACGGTTTTCGTCTTTTGAGATCGTTATAATACATCCACTTTTCATCACCGGTCACTATTTTATACAAAAAGTCTTTTTTCTTAAACCTGGATAACAGAGACAAAGCCGTATCACAGCGTCTCGCTTTGTTGTCAACGGAGAGTACATGCGGAACCCATCGACTTTCTTTTTGAATTTTGCCCAGTTTTTTTAACCAGATAGAAATGGTTTGTTGGGTAACTCCTAATGCTGCAACTAATTCTGCTTGAGATTGGCATGGATTTTCGACAAGCTTCTTCAAATCGTCGTCTTTTCTTCTTCGTTCTATCGTTCTATCTTTTTGGATTGTCCAAGACGTTCGTCATCCTCTAGGTTAAAATTTCTGGAATGTCTGGAACCACTTTTTATTAGAAAACACAGCACCTTCCCCTAATGCCTCACAATTTATTTTCTTTGCCTCGAACATGTTTTTTTTTAACTGAAATGCGAAGAGCAACAACGCCTAATGTGTTGCTTGTCAGACACCATCGTGTTTACTGCGTTCGCGATGATTTGTTTGAAGTTATGTATGTCAGCTATATATTCCGGTTTTATGATTTATCATGTGGGTACTATACAGCCCTTAAATTGGCGGCGAAAATTTTCCGCTTAAATAAGTGTTACAATTCATATAATATTAGAACCGAGAATTAATTTGTATATATATTAAGTGTACAAATGAATAATCCACATGTTTTTAAATAGTTAAGAAATTAGTTTTAAAATCAATTGATTTTCCCGTTCTTTTACGATTATGTAGTGTTGACATATAGCTATTAAAAATTATATTTAGTATGGCGAAAGGCCCAACACAACCTTCAAAAGTATTCAGTTCAGTAGAGTCAAACATAGCAACAGATAAGGTGCATATCAGACGCTGTATTCTTTATGAATTTAAACAAGGAAAAAATGCTGCAAGAGCATGCGAATCGATTTATTCTTTTCTCGGCAAAGGTGTTATATCGTATGATGTGTGCGCAATTTGATTTAAGCGGTTTAAAAGTGGTGATTTTAGTCTGATCGACAAACAATGTCCTGGAAGTCCTCGAAAACACGAGAACGATGATTTAGGACAATTGCTTGCTAGGGAATTCGGCATAAATGCAAAAGGAGCTTGCAGAGCAGTTGGGAATAACGCAGCAAGTTGTTTCCAAACACCTACATGAGATGGGTAAGATCTAAAAAGAAGGAAAATGGGTTTCGCATGAACTCATTGAAACTAATAAAAATCAACGTGTGGCAGCGTGTTTTTCTCTTCTCAATAAGCAGCGTCGAAAGTCTTTCTTGTGGAAAATCGTTACGGGCGATGAGAAATGGATACTCTATGACAATATAAAACGCCGAAAGTGATGGGTAAATCTCGGTGAACCATCAACATCGGTCGCAAAGCTCAATCGCTTCGGAAAGAAGATTCTGCTCTGCATTTGGTGGGATATCAAGGGCGTGCTTTATTATGAGTTATTGGGACCGGGTAAAACAGTTACTGCGGACTGTTACTAACGCCAATTAATTTGCTTGAATCAAGAATTAGAACAAAAACGCCCGTATATTGGTAAAGGAGATCGTCTTGTGAAATTGTTGCATGACAACGCCAGGCCACACATTGTCTCCAAGACAAAAGACACCATAATGAATCTTGGCTGGGACGTCTTGCAGCTCTCGGCGTATTCACCAGACATTGCTTCATCTGATTATCATTTGTTCCGGTCGATGCAACATGCTTTGTCCGATATTTATTTCCAATCAGTGGATGAGATCTGAAAATGGCCTTACGACTTTATCGTGTCTAAAGACACAACATTTTTTCGAGGTGGAATTCATCAGCTGCCTGAAAGATGGCTTAAAGTTATAGAAAGTAATGGCGAATACTTTGATTGAAAAAATTTGTTTTACTTTCTTTTAAAATAAATCTCGAATTTAGCTGAAAAATTTGTATTATTCGTTTGCACACTTAATAATATTCAAAATTTCGCATGTATTCGTATATTTACCATGTATATTACAGGTTCTTCAAGAGTTAATAAAAACTATGCAAATGCAAAACTCATTGTTTAAAAAAACATATAATAGAATTGTGTGGACTGGTAGTTTTTATAAAAAAACGAAGGTTGGCTCACCCGATGAATTTGACTTAAATTTAATTATTCAATTACCTTTCAAAAAAGCTAAGGGCATGAAGGTAATAGCAATGCTCTACTTAATAGAAAGACATACTATGTGTTTCTTACTCAATAATTAGTAATTATGAATTATTACAGTTTAACACAAACTTACCAGGTTATACTAAAATATATGACTGTGAAATTGATACATTAAATATGGATTCAAAAGCACTCCGGTATAATTCGTATTGCAATATAAAATTATTTTTTTTTAAACCAGTGCAACAAAAAAAAAGAAATATACTTTTTTGTTTAGAGATATGATGTCATTCATTGATGATCAATCGTATTTAAACCAAGAGAAATTCCGTAGATGGTTTGAAAGCGTCCTGAGTTCAGCAGCTAATAATATCGTCACCGATAAAAATAATAAAATCAACAATTATACTGTCGGTATATTATATTGTAAAACATGTTTCGAAAACATATATCATTTCATTCAAATTTGAATCAAAAGTACATAAATTTCTACTTATCTCTAAACATTCATCATTTTTTTTAGTTAAAAATTAAGAAATCGGGTCCAGCATTTACATTATTGCTGCAAATTTCTAATCGGTCAGTCAGTATTGATTTGGTTCCCGTCTTAGCATTTTCAAGTCGCTGTTATGCACCGCCATGCACTAGAACTTATACACAAGTATGTATCCCAGCATTGAAATAACCTGTATCCTTATTACATACTAAAGTAATTACTAAAAAGGATAAGGATTTTTATCCTGTATAATAATATCTGTTATTTCTTATAGGATTGCGATAGATACTGGTTCCTGGTTCCTAAACCATTAAACAATAAAAAAATTTTCGGTGCAGAACAAAATCGTTACTGGCGATTAAGTTTTTATGAATTTGAAAAAGATATTCTGTCTAAATACGGACGAGCTAAACCAATAATACGTCACTTAAAAGTATAACAATATCTTACGAAATTATAAATATTGATTAATATGAAATTAGCTTTAATAATAATTATTATATTTTTAGAAACTCAGAGATAATCAGAAATGGAAATGTATTGCCAGTTATTACATTGAAACGTTATGTTTCCACCATCTACATATCTTTGAAACATCTAACAAAGAGTCATCAACTTTTTTATTTTTTACGGTAGAGTTTTTAACGCTAAAAAAATTTTTTCTTTTATTGAAGTATTAATAAAGTAATAATACTTGTAGATGTTAAAAAAACTTTATGAAGCTTTCTGTGCCCGTTGCATAGAATATTATTGGGATAAAAACTTAGATTTATTGGAAAAAATCGCTTATGGTGAAATGGTAAATATGGAAGACAACCTATTTAATATTATAAAAAAGATCGAGAAGCAAATAATGGAGAAACCGGATGACCCATTCGCAATAGCTACATACATTTGTAAGTATTTACAATATTTGGGACAGGAAAAAAAATGTAAAATTTGAAATTTATTGTACATTTATTACTTTACTATACGAGGTCTGTTCAAAAAGTATCGCGAATTTTGTGTTTTTTC